TAAGTCGCAAACCCAGCCAAATGATGGAAAAGGGCAACAATACGGTATACATAATTCTCTACAAGTAAATGATAGGTACCAATTTGGCAGCCAGAATTCCACAGCGGCACAGGGTTGTAGTTAGATGAGTTGGTTCTGGAGCCTGCTGGATATATCCGGCTCAGTTTTTCCACATTGTGACGGATGAAGGCGTTCGCTGTAGAAGATGACCAAATAATAGCGATGTTGACTGCAACCATAGCAGTTACATTTCAAAAGAGCTGTCACGAAACGTGACCTAATAACTACATGCGTACTTACCTGACTCCTCGGCCAGCTTCACAGCCTTTCCCTCGTTAAAGGAGGACATCTCGTAGAAGCTCAAATTCTTCTGTGCATCATCAAAGCCGTTGAAGTGCACACTCTTGCAGTAGATCACCATGTCTGACAGTTCTTTTGCTAGTTTCAGCTTCTTCTTCATTGCAAGCACAGGGGATAGTCAAAACAATTTGAACCCTTTCGTGCATGACGGTCACTACAGTGGACAGCTATGAAAATGTCATTTTCTGTGATAAGAATAGGTTTTGATGGCAGTGTTGCACATAAGCCTCTACAGTGGACGCCTGAGAATCACCCAACACTGCCATACAGTGGTCAGCCTTTGCAACTGCAGAATAATTGTGTCAACATTCAAAAGGAAAATTTGGTGTATAAAAACAGAACCAAATCAGTTCTTATTTTTATGTCTAAAAACACATAAAAACACTTAGTAATTTTTTGAAATCAAAAGAAATACTGGCATATATTTATCTTCAATGTCATGTAACTCCAACCTTGCTTTTCTCTTTCTTCTGCTCATTTTCATCGTCAGACTCCTCCTCCTCGGTGACTCCATCAGTCTCTGCGGCGGCAAATGTGGTTTCCAGTTTATTTAGCCTCTTTCCTTTAATTAGGAACCTTCCCTTTAATTCCTAAAATGACAGAAATGCATATATATATATATAAATACATTTATATATAGCATATCCAAAGTTATATGCGATACATAACTGACACTGTGTGACCCTTTCAAAATGATCCATGACAAATTCAAATAGTTTGATAACAAAATGCTGTTATATAAATAATATGAAATATAATTATATTAATATAATATAAATAGGTAATAATAATAATTGCTATGTAATAGTCATTATTAAATACATTTTTAAAAAACAAGAACGAACCTGGGGAGATGGGAAATTAGTGGGCATGCCATCTCCTAGGGGAGCGGTAACGAGTGCGCTACCCAGGATGCAGCTCATGTGGTGGGCAATTACTTCCTGCTGCTCCACACTGCAGTGGTTCTCCAGGGAGATGATGACAGGGTAATCGGATGTCTGAGGGTGAGGGTCAACATACAAAAGCGACACAAATTGCATGTATCGTACTGGAACCCCACCCGCGATGATGGGTCACTCAATTGTACGACGACAACCACACATACGTACGCACCTTGAAGGCGTACTCCTTAATGGCTTGGATCGCATCTTTGAAGAGTATTTTAGAGGTGAGGGTGTACCCATGGTAGATCACTGGCTCGTTGTCTGATCCGTCCCAGCAGTCGAGCTCCACGCATCGACAGCCTTTCAGCAGAGCTCTGACACAGATATTAAAGTGTTTCTGACATCAAATCGTTTTTTTTGTTTTTTTTTTAATCTAGATGTGATAAAGAATATTTCCCACTTTTAAACATTAACAATTCATGATAATTGCCTGGCAATGTTGTTACATTTTCTTTTTTACTGACTAAAAGTAATGTTATCAGTCCCTAGTAATCCAATGGACTAGTTCAAGACAAATTTAAATACAGATTTAGGAATAAGCGTAATGAATGAATGGATGCATGGATGGATTGACGGATGGACGGACGGACGGACGGACAGATGGATGGTTGGATGGATGGATGGGTGGATAGATGGATGATAGATGGATGGATGAATGGGTGGATGGATGGATGTATGGATGGGTGGATGGACGGACGGACAGATGGATGGATGGATGGTTGGATGGGTGGATAGATGGATGAATAGATGGGTGGATGAATGGGTGGATGGATGGATGTATGGATGGGTGGATGGACGGATGGAC